AATACCAACGTAAAGTAGAAGCTATGCTTCTGCGTTTCGCTTGGTTAGTGCAGGTGGCCGGAGGACAACCCTCCCCCCCTCATAACATGGTAACGGAATTTAAAAAGAAAGGAATACTCCAAAAGAATGCTCCGTGCAGTTTTAGTAAGTATTGAGCGGGATTTTGCCCCCCCCCCCCCCCCCAGAAGGGGCAAAATCCCGCTCTATACTTACTAAAACTGCACGGAGCAAACAGAGCGATAAAACCACGGCGACACCTGCCATGCTACCCGTGGACTTCTGCAACATCAGGGGACTTCACTCGATCCTTAACGCCATCCACTACCATCCAGAGACGGCGAAACCAGCCTTGCTCTTTTTGACAGAGACGCAGGTGTCCTCTCCGGCTGATACTTCGTACCTGTCATACCTGAGGTACAAATTAGAACACTTCTTTGTGCCCCGGGCTGGAGTTTGCGTATACGTCAGAGAGGATATCTGTTCTCGACGCCTCGGCAACCTCGCGGTTGCATTCTGCATTTGCCGCCTAGTTAGCCTTCCTTCGGGAACCCGTGCTTTCTGGTCTCTTGCCAAGGCTGTCCATGGGAATTTCTGTAAGCCATCACTACCGTCTCTGCACAGGGAGAATGACTCATTGGCCCACGCCGATAAAGAGAAAGCTGACCTTTTAGGCACCCTTTTTGCGTCCAACTCGACTCTTGATGACGGGGGGAACACACCGCCAACCATCCCGCAGTGTGAGTGCTCTATGCCTGATGTGCGATTCACACAGTGCTCAGTTTGCAAAGCATTCCTTTCCCTGGACATCCACAAGTCGAGTGGGCCTGACGGAATCCCGCCAATTGTGCTGAGGACGTGCGCTCCAGGGTTGACACCGGTTCTAACGCGTCTTTTTCGGTACTCCTACTCCCTAGGCGTTGTCCCGAATTCATGGAAGACAGCTTTCGTGCACCAGATTCCTAAAAAAGTTAACTAACTAACTGATCCGTCCAATTACAGGCCTATCGCCATCACCACCTTGTTCTCGAAAATGATGTAGTCTATTATTAACTGCCAGCTCATACGGTATCTTGCGGAGGACCAACTGATTAGTAACTGCCAGTACGGTTTCCGTCGGGGTCGCTCAGCTGGTGATCTCCTTGTTTACCTAACACATAGATGGGCGCAGGCGACCGAGTTCTAAGGGGAGGCATTGGCCGTTAGTTTAGACATAGTGAAGGCCTTCGATCGGGTCTGGCACAAAGCGCTTCTTTCGAAGCTTCCTTCCTATGGGCTTCCTAAGAAATAATGCAATTGGATCACCAGTTTTCTGGTTCATCAAGGTTGCTGTAGACAGTGCGTGCTCCGATTACAAGCCTATTCCACAAGGCTGCGTGCTATCACCAACGCTGTTTCTTCTGCATATCAATATGTTGCAGACCGGTACATACATTGCTATGCAGATGACAGCGCTGGTGATGCTCTATACACCGGCCGTGCCAGTATTTCTCGGGAAAACGTCGCCGAGTACCGGAACAAACTTGTGTCTGAAGTTGAGACTTTGTTGAACAAAGTCTCGGATTGGATGCGACTAAATCTAGTCCAGTTCAACCCCCAGAAGACACAGTTTGCGCATTTACCGCTAAAAGGGTAAGCGACACTAAAAAGAGACAAACATATACATCTATAGAATTTAGCCTGCGAGAGAACAAGATAGAATATAGTGTAGTAAGCGACTAATATTTTTTTTAAGTACAATGTTTCCTACTATCCCGGTGTCCTCTTTGAGCGGTGCTTTAAAGATAGTTAGTATAAATTTTAATTGTTAAACTGTATAAAAAATTAACAAATTTATTAAAATAATAAAAAGAACCATAATATCGAATAAAATTATTTTAATATACCAATCCATTCATAACAATTCACGATTCATAACTTCAGACCATCTAGCGTCTGTTTTACGTACCACCTTGAAAGTCAATCAATTTTTGTTCAATAAAATGACTTTACCTATAGAATAAAGTAGATGGCGCTATTACAAAGCAATTTTATTCGAAAGAAAATATTTTTTTGATTTATTACTCTAAAATTTAGTCTAAAAATCCTCACTTTTTTTTATTAGGACATTTATAGAAGAAAAGATGATATTAGTTTACTCAGATTAACAAGCCCTTAATGACACGGGTCACCGGTGCTATAACAGGTCACGGTTTATTTAACAAGAATCTTTGCTTTAGTTGTTACGCATAGCCCCTGCAGAGCCTCTATGGGGCATAAAGAAACAGCGGCCCACGTTTTGATTAATTGTTCAGCGGTTGCCAGTTTCAGATCTAAGTACAGATCACAGAGGTGGCTCGCCGAGATAATTGGTAATATAAAGAAATTACTAAGATTCTTCGAGGAGCACGAGCGGTTCGAATTATATAAAATTCCTACCCACACGCAAAATACGCGCTTAGACGTGGTGTTGCGAACACCAGCCCGGCTCAATAACCAGTCAAATCAAACAAGGGGCTCCGGCGCTCGTCACTGTCATTCACAGCAGCAGTAGGCGCGGTTTATACAGAAGAGTCGTGGCGAGGGCGTGTGGCGGTGGCAGATAATCAAAGAAACAAAATAGACCTAATCTACAATAATAATACCACTAAAGATAGGACGCACACCACGTAGTGGCGGTGGCGCGCCACCTGTTGGCGGTGACGTCACGTGGATGCTCCCGACAAAAACGACGTTATGCGACATAACTATTAGATCTATTTTACGTTTCTTTGATTATCCGCCACCGGCACACGCCCTCGCCACGTTTCTTCTTTATAAACCGCGCCTTATGCTGCTGTTTCACGCTAGGCGAGCGTAGTTCCTCTTCGTGCTGCAGTCATAATATAGCTGCAGCGTGACTGTACCACACATCTCTACAAGTCTACAATAATACACTCTGTCCTACTAATCCCGAAAAATAGCGTATATCGTATTCGGAAATACCAAATCCAAATCCCACAGGTTAAAATGACCTAGCGATACTTATTCCTGGTTAATTTGCAGTTATAGTCTGCGACCTGACCAAAACGAATAGTATGATAGTGCGGGGAATACAACTTAAAGGTCATATTCACTAACATGCTTGTTTTTCCTTTATATAAAATTGAAATGTATAAACTGAACAATTACACGCAGCATCACACACCCATACCCACACACACACGCAACGCACGCGCACTCACGCACGCACGCACGCAAGAATGCAATAATTATTATTATAAAATTTCACAACCATTTGTAAAATTCTTATATTAGATGACCGAATGATAGAGGTGATTGGGGAACTCGCAATTCTCACGACACCCATGTAACATCTCTGGGTGGTGCCTGAAAACCAGCGCTTCATGGAATCTTAGTCCAAGGTAAGCATAAGCTGAGTCACCTCCAATTGCCTAAATTTAATTAAGATGAAGTACTTAGTTTATAAGATTTACATATGTTTCTTAATGTGGCAATAAAATGATATTTATTTAAGTGACAAAAGAACTTACAGTCCACCTCATAATAAGTGGCCTCTGCAGCTCATAGACAACTGCAACAAACTTTAAACAACGAAGGCACGCGTAATTGAATGGACTAAAATGGAATGACTACCATTCACCTAAATTATTCAAGCACGGAACTCGGACTTTAATCTAGGCAAAAATACCTAATAATAATCTGAAACAGAAAACTAAACTGGAGTAGCTATTGAAACTATAAAATCATTAAAAGGGACGATGGGATTCTTTAACAAAAATATCTTGTTGCTTTACGGAATGGTAATACGATGTCATCTGGCGCTTTGGTTTTATTTCCAACAGCCAGTACAGTACCGTTGAGGTTAGATGCATCACCGACAGTGGTTCTAGAAGCTAGTCTTTACCTTATATACGGCTAAACTTGTTCGTGCAACATGAAGCATCGATGGCAGCTTGTTAATGATTAATAATAATAATGAATTAAATTTGTAGAAAAGTGAACATAACCTTATTTAAAGGTATGCAAAAAACTCTAGAAAAGACATAAAAAATTGTAGTTCGCATGATACTTTAGGTTAGATTTATGGAAAATATTTAATTGATACGGTAAACTTAAACGCAAACAATAAATAGCCAGGTAGTGATTGGCAGTAAGTTTTCAGCAAGCAGTAAGTTAACTACGACAAATGCACGAATCAAATATATCTCTGATAGACAATATACGATGTGGCAAACCCAAACCGACGACGGAAAACAGCGTCAAATTGCCAAGACTTCCTACAATGGATGACTCATGTCAAAAAAAGAGAATAATTTATATTTCAGGTTGCTTGTTGCAAGTTTATATATTTTTGAAAAAAAAAAGTAAATGTTGAATTTTTAATTATTAAAATAAAGAATAATATAACGATAGCTGCCAACCAAAATCAAAGGGCACAATAAGAAAAATAAAAAATATTAGACATTGAATGAAATTCATAGCATTATGTTTTATTGTACACAGTTCATACGAAATAATTACATATATAAATCTTAACATATTCGTCTAATATCTAACACATTTATTATAATCAAGGAACATCGTAACGAGAAGAATAGATATACAATTAGTAATAGTGTACATTAAGTAAATCGCTTAAATAACCCATACGTTGTAATATAACGGCTATTATTTACAAATACTTAATTCATTAACATAACTTAAATAATAGTGAATTGTGCAAAAGCGCATAAAATTGAGGTAATAACTTATTGTGTAACTGGTGACTAATAATTGACTACATTAAATTTAAATTTAAAAAAAACCATCTTAGTACCCAAAACCGTAAGGTAACAAAATTGTCATGGATTCGAATCAACCGAAAGCGGACGCTCAGAAGCAGTTAATTCGCGCCCCCGATAAAAACGATAACTTTCTCAAACAAGTGGGAATTTACTGATACTCGAGTAAGAATCGTGAATTTGCCTCGTATATTTTACAAGGCCGTAAAACCGAACCACCTAGACGTAGAATTGCTATCATTATATAACGACGCCGCTCCTAGAGACTATTTTCGTTGTTTGATCTTTAGGTTTCTCCTCTAAATTGTGTTTTGATGACTGTATCTTCTTCCACGTGTCGCCCAGAGCTTTGCTGAAGTGATCGTCGACAACTCCATTACTTGATGTTTGCGCTGTATCGCCTTCTTTTAGCCTCGAAGTTTGTATTTGCCGCCAGGTATCACCTAAGGCCTTAGCAAAGTGGTCGTCTACAGACATGCTCGCGTCGTCGACTTCCATTGCGATGATTTTCGTGGATTTAGGCGATTCCTCCGTTTTGAACTGGATCGGGCTGCTCGCTCTATCCTTGGTGTTAGGTTTAGGACCGGGCAACGCGTTTTCCGAATTCTTCTTAAACAAATTCATATAGTCATCTCCGAGCGAGCGTCTAAAATGCTCGTCTATAACTGGATCACACATCGACATCGAACCTGTGAACGGTAAAAGAGACATTTAAAAAATAGAAAAATCATTGAGTTTATGATTAAAAACCAATTTGAACAATATCAATAAAGTATTTTAATTGTAGGCCAAAAATATTTTAATAGAATATATTGTTTGCATGATTCTTTAACCTGATTTATATTTTGTTTGCTATAAGGACTTGATTACGGATATAGTATAGTGTAAGAAATAAATAAAGAAGGAACATGTTTATTAAAAAAAATATGAATAAGTAAATAATAAAAAAAACAAGTGTCACAGTTGATTGCAGCAAAAAAGGCTACCGACTCAGCATAACACTCTGCTGCCGTAGCAACAGAGTTACAAAAACGTTGAAATTCTGTCGAAGCCATATAAGGTTTATTTGAAAGAAAAATAACGTTTTATAATCATTATGAGTGGATAAATTGTTTATAAGTTGACTTACCAGGTGTGTCGTTGCTTTTGGTGATGACAGAGGGTCGGTTGTAAGGAGGCGGTGCAGGCCTCGATCGCAACCGCATGTCGATGGGTGCTTCGTATTTCCCAGGATACTCAGGAGGAGCTAGAAGGAAGCAACATTTGAGTATATCACTGTATAAGTCTACTAAAAATATACTTTTTTAAACTCAAAAATATTTTCGAGATAGCTGTTTATAATATTAGACTGGTAAGCATCAGTCCACTATTTTTTTTTATAGGATAAGGGTGACAAACGAGCACACAGTCCACATGATGGTAAGTGGTTGCTGTGGTCCATTAGACATCTACATCTCTATCTTCGATTAAGAATCAAAATGCAGATGCGTTGTCACCCGTGAGGACTAAGATGGAATGCCTCGTCTCCGGTTCTCTACACTCACCATACGAAACACAGCAGCGTTAAGCTGTTATTTTACGCTGGTATTCTGTGAGAGCGTGGTCCTTCTCCGGTCGAGCCGACCCATTCGTGCTACAACCATAATATAGCTGCAGCTTGGCTCTACCACGTATAAAGGAAATGAAATGAATGAAAGGGGCTACTGCAGCCCACGGACACCCACGCTCAACTTCGAATTAAAAAAATATGCGTGAGTGTCGTGGAACACTCGGTTGGAACGAAGTTCCTTTCGTAGTATATAATTATTAATAAAAGTATTATATTATTACAAATAAATAACTACTAGCGTCTATTAAAATGAAGCGTCATTTAAAATAAAATAATATTTCTTTCACGTCAAGATAAGAAAAAGTGCGATGGAGATGGATATTATTCCATCTCGCTTCCTTATAGCCGCCTACACTACGTCAGAAGAGGTCGTGACGGAAAATTCTTACACTTTTTCTCGCCTAGCCCACATCCGTCGAATTCGTACCGTGCGATAAGGAACTTCGTTCCAAAAGAAGCCACAGAAGCATTGTCAAACATAGCCTTTAGCCTGTAATGATATTGGCTCTCTTAACCTTCAAACCAAAACGGAGACAACAGCATGGCGACCGGAATAGATAACACTGTCGCACTAACTTAGATTGATTTCTAGGCAAAAAAGTCTTTTAATGAAATTTTATAGTGTCCTTGATTATTTATTCTCTCTGTAACAACTTTTTCTAATCACCTTCTATTTACCACCAGCAGTGTAGTTCGTGAGAACTACACACTCTAGTCCTAATGCTACTTGCCTTCTACTGGCCGGTGATTGAAATAAGATCTGGAGGACATCATTATTATTATGGTAGGATAATAATTTATGTGTATTGCTGTAAACAATCTGTAGCAGGGTATCGTTTACAAGCCCTAAAAGCACGAGGTTACAATATACCGTAAGTTGGTCGATGACAGAAATTGTTGACCAAGGAGACTGAACTTGAGCAATTGTTAAGGACCTGACGTACAAATTCATTGTATATTAGCAAACCGTTGATTATTAAGCGCAACAATTTTAACAATTTTAAGCGCTGATTTACAATTTGCTCCACAGTTAAGGAAAATATCTTGAGGAAACCTGAGAAGTGAAAAATATTTCAATGACGTGTCAAGAGCGCTAAGACAACCATACGCAGCGCCTTTCTTGTTTCAGAACTCTCTCACACGTGAGAAATAACCTTTGTCAAAAGTATAGAAATAAATTTGAATATCCCATTGTTAATTTAAAGTTAGTGGTTTAGTAATGAGGCACAGGCTTCACATTTCTGAGAAGATTCCCTATGTATGTTTGCAGTCGGACGTACTTTGATTTCACACACATGACACTATTTAAAGAAATATTACAGGTTAAAGACACTGATAATGTGATGTAAAAATACCCTTTGTAACTTAGGCTATAATTTTCTTTCAAAAAACGTTATCTGTTAGCGGCTGTTAATGTACCTACTACCTAGTATAGAATAAGAAGAAAGTAATTATACTATATAATTATAAATAAAAATATTTAAAATTTGTACAAAGAAAATTATTGTAAACTTAAAAATTAATGATAGTATTTGGAATTATATTTATGCAAATACTACACATTTAATGAAACTCATATCGCTAATTTCATCGCGTTATTGGTTGTTAAACAGGGACGTTTCCAGTGTGTTAAATTTAGATACGATTTCGAGTTTAACTCACACTTTAATGTCAAAATTTTGGGTCCAGACCATATTTTTGCCAGGGTAGACTCACTGGCACAGGATGCCACAAGGTGTTAAGTCCACCCTATGTAATCTTAATTTTAAATGTTACATTTAAGTTTTAAATAAATATTTTATTACACAAATTTCGGCATTGTAATTTAGGTTAAAATTTGACTTTTTCATACATTCCATTTATATTTTATTTTAAAGAATATAGATGACAACAGAATACGGTCTATGTGTTGGTAAGTACATGCTACGGCCCATAGACATCTACTTCCATCCCCGATTAAGAATTAAAATTCAGATGCGTTGTCACGCCTGAGGTCTAAAATAGAATGCCTCGTACCCAGCTTGAAATGGTTGAAAATTATCATATTAAGTAAAACATTTGCCGTGAAATCTTTTGAAGTGTTATTTTTATTTAACTGTACGAAATGATATTTTAAGTCATAGGTGTAACGCTATTGGCTAAATTTAAAATATACTTGGGCAGTAATGTTCAGATGATTAAAGAGGCATCTAAGGACACACTGTTTTTAGTAACAGTTAGACAAAATCCGACTAACTAAAACGACTTAATCTACATCAAACTCGAAGCTTAGAAAAGTTAAATAAAACCAATTCCATTCAATTTGAAAATTATTATAAATATTCCCGTTTATAATAAATATCTCTTTGTTGAAAAATTGAAATTTCGCAACAGCTACAGATACATTTTACTTATTTTCCACAACCATAGAGCAACACGAGCCACCGGCGGACTGGAGGGGAGTAGCCATAGCGTTTGTTTCTGATACAGTACTGTCTGTCATTTTATGCAGGGGAAAATTGCTCTCTCAAAATCAATCGCCTGTCTTCAAACTACTGCCTGAAATATCCTGATACTCTATATTCGTCTTATTCTCTCGAAGTTTAGTTTTCTGAAGGTTTTACGTCTACCACGTGTGAACTGCACACATCTTTTTTTTAATTTATTTATTCAAACCGAATAACTATATTAAGGAACTCAAAAAGGAACTTATAAGTACCATTTTAACGTGGTAGAGCCATGCTGCAGCTATATTAATTGATAGTTGTAGCACGAATGGTTCGGCTCGACCGGGGAACGACCACGCTCTCACAGAATACCAGCGTAAAATAGCAGCTTAATGCTGCTGTGTTTCGTATGGTGAGTGTAACCGGAGATCCTTTACTGGAAAAGAGGCATTCCATCTTAGTCCTCACGGGTGACAACGCATCTGCATTTTGATTCGCAAACGAGGATAGATGTAGATGTCTATGGGCCACAGCAACCACTTACCATCAGACGGACTGTGTGCTCGCTTGTCACCCTTATGCTATTTAAAAAAATCATTTTTTGACTACCTCCTCCTCTCTTCACCTTTCTTCAATTATAAAAAATATAAAATAAAAATATACATTATTTGTACAAATGGTATATAATTTTAAAATAAATTATAGCAATAACTAGGCGGCTTATTTGAGTACGATATTTTTTCCTTACTAACATTCAATATATTTTATTAGATTTTTTTTTAAATCACTACCTAAGTGACCCGCTACCTATACAATCACTTATTTTACCCAAGAACAGGGTATACTTATCTAAATTAATTAATTTACCTGTAATCTCATCGATATAATTTGGATAAGTATCTCTTTTGTTGCAACCACACAATCAAATTATTTTTTTCACGAAACCAGAAGTCTCCACTTACCCAAATTATTCCACTACTAAGTAAAATTTTAACTATAATTAACATTTCATAAAGCTGATGGTTTCATGAATTTATAGTACAAGTTCGCCCTAAATTTCACATAATGAGTTGCAGCGTTAAGTGCCGCCGGTTCAAATCCTGCACGTAACAAGTATTTGTAACCTACAAATAATTGTTCCGGGTCTGAATGTTCGTCCTTATGAAATTTACGTGTGTAAACTGCCCCCACGATACAGGAGCAAATCGTTAATCGGTAACGTTAAAAAAATAAGTATATAGTTTGATTCCTTCAGGTTCCGGCACGATTGATATGGTTAAATGCTACATTAAATACTGATTTATCACATGATTAGGTGATGTATGAAACGAAAACACATTTCGGGGCACATTTCTTCTTCCCAGGGCAGAGGTATTTTCCGAACCAGTGGTAAATAAAAAAGTTACTAATTATTATGTAATAATCTATATTGAATAAAAATTATTCTATTCTATTCTGTGAAGTTAACAAATTTAACAGTGGTAGAGCCACGCGGCAGCTTTTGATGTCGCACGGATGGGCCGGCTCGAACCGGGGTGGTACCACGACCTCACAGAATACCAGCGTGAAGTAGAGGTTTACCTCTGCGTTTCGCATGGTGAGTGCAGGTGGCCGGAGGCCCTTTTTACTCGAAATGAGGCATTCCATCTTAGTCCTCACGGGTGGCAACGCATCTGCATTTTGATTCGCAAACGAGGATAGATGTAAGATGTCTATGGGCCGCAGCAACCACTTACCATCGGGTGGACTGTGTGCTCGTTTGTCACCCATATCCTATAAAAAAAAACCAACCCGCTTCGGAATACGTAATCCTTGTGTCCTTTGCAATTGAGAAGTCTTATGTCTACAGTGGAATATGTATGAGTTTTTACTTTACTAAGTATAAAATAGGTAATAAAAATAAACTAATCATAGACTGCTGGTAAACATTAAATAAAACGGGACTTTCTTTTTATTCCTTTTCCCCGTGAAATTAGGTGTAACAATAAACCAAAAACGAAGTATACCTTTTCCGTTAATTATTATATTAGCTGGCGAATCTTCTACTTCGTCGGAGAGTTCCCCGTCGCTATGCGGTTGAGCGCGAGCCACCGACGGAGCGAGTCGCCGCTCGTTGAAAGACTGCGAGCGCAGCGCCATCTTGCAATTGTCTCTGAAAATAAAAATTAATAGCTTAAGTTTACTATGCGACGCATTAAATAAAAATGCCGTGTAAAAATATCATTAATTTATCCATTACAGCCTGTAAAAGTCCACTGCTGAACATAGGCCTCTCTCATATATTACCTCACTGGGAGGATTGCAATAGTTGCCACGAGTTGTTTTGGGGTCTTCCTAATAGCATGCACTAATAGGCAGCAGTTAGTTTCCCTTTGCCGCCTCTTACGACACCCACGGGACGATATGGGATAGTGTATATTCTTACACCGCCACTACACGGTACAAAATGAAATTATTAATAAAAAAATATATTATTTATAACAATAACATCAATAAAAAGTGGATGCTGAGAGCACTAGGTAGTAGATTCAGAAGTACAATCATGTAATTCTGGTGGGAATCGCATTTGGCTACATTTCAAAGTAGGTGGTAAATAGAATGCTGTACCTAGTCGAGTAGAAATAAGGTTACTGAAAACAACCAACATTTTTTTTTTAATATTGCATCATTAAAATAACACAGGTTTGACAGGCGAAAGATATAGCGTTTTACAAAAGTTTATACGCTTACTAAAGCTACGTCTGTTCAGAATAGGTGCCAGCGCAATGCTGCTGTGATTCGTATGGAACGAGACGATTCGAAATGGGAGACGCTTTTCTACCGACTTCAAAAAGGAGACGGTACTCAATTCGACTGTATGCTTTTTTATGTGTTACCTCATAACTTTTTACTTGGTGAACCGATTTCGATGATTCTTTTTTTATTTGAAAGCTGGTGCTTCACATGTGGTCCCATATAATATACTGATCAAGATCTGACCATTAGTTTTTGAGTTATTCTTAATAATTTATATTTATTAAGGCCGGCAAAGCAATCTGCAATTCCCCTGATGTTGCGGTTGTTCATGGGCGGCGGTAGTCACTTACCATCAGGTGAGCCGTATGCTCGTTTGCTCCATCTAATGTAAAAAAAATTGAAGACAGTTGTACAAAATTTTTAATTTTAAATTATTAGGTACTGGTTACGAGACACTGCATCTTCATTAGTCTTTAGGTGTGATAACACTGCATTTTGATTCTTAATCAAATATGAATGTCTAATCCAAATCAGCCACTCGCCATCAGACGGACCTTTTGCTCATTTGTCACCATTTCTATAAAAACATATTTGTTTATAATGTTTTTTGATACTAACTACAAGTTGATGTATACAAACAGATTTTACAAGATAGAAAAATAATATCTTACTTGGGCCTGTAATCGGGCAGGCGCGTCGACCGACGCTCCCTCCGCCACTTCCCAGTCAACTCTTTGGATTGCGGCGTCCTGGGTCCTTCCGGAGATAGCGTACGGTCGCCTTCAGACTCGCTGTTCGTACTCGGCGTTTCTGAAATATTCGTTATCGGTCATTGATTTTAACACCAACACAAGGTTTTGTAGTTGTATGTGGGGCTAAAACACTAACATATTACATACTGCGTACTTATGTGGGACCAAGGTATATGACTTCTCCAAACAAGTCCAAATTATGATTAGTTTTGTGGTCACGAGGTATTCTATCTTAATCATCAGGAGTGACAACGCAGTTACATTTTGATTTTTATTAGCGGATAGATGTAAGTGTATAGACGGTAGGGCCACAGCATCCACTTACCATCAGGTGGGCTGTGAGTTCGCTTGTCACCTTCATTCTATAAAAAAACCAAGGCTATACTAAAACCCATATTCCACAGATGGTAATGAAAAGCAGCGTTATCAGTACCATGTGGTATCTATCACCTTACTCACGATCCCGCCTACCCAGCGTAGCGATTATGGGAAAAACTTTCAAGTCATCATGTCATAGGCGCATTTTGTTTTATAGGATATAGGTGACAAATGAGCACACAGTCCACCTGATGGTAAGTGGTTTCTGTGGCCCATAGACATCTACATCTATCCGCGATTACGAATCAAAATGCACATGCGTTGTCACCCATGAGGACTAAGATGGAGTGCCTTGTTTCCAGTAAAAAGGGTCTCCGGTTCTCTACACTCACCATACGAAACACAGCAGCGTTAAGCTGCTATTTCACCATGGTATTCTGTGAGAGCGTGGTCCTTCCCCGGTTGAGCCGACCCATTCGTGCTGCAACTATACCAATAATATAGCTGCAGCATGGCTCTACCACGTTAAAGTATAGGATATTTAAAAGACCTTCTTTATTCGGCGCTGTATTATGAAAGACCATTAAATTAAAAAAATAACGCTTGTTTTTGTAACTGCAAGCTCAAATTGACAGAGAAAGATCATTAATATCCACAGTTCAATATTAGCATCAAGTGGAGAGAAGTTTAATATATTTTCTTAAGACTTTTTGTGTCAATCCAAATTTGGTAAAAATTAAGCTCTTATGTGTTAAGTGCATAATAATCTGTTACCCCATTCCAGTAATCTCTTTTTAAGTAGGAACTGAATATCAACTACACCTTAGATTAAACAAATTAAATTGATAAGAGTCTACAATGTGAAGTTTTGAGACTTGGAAGAAATATATTACTTTAATAAACCAATTTATGGTAATGAAGAAAATTGTTAAAACTTCCTTAATATTTAATTTTTTATGAAACTGTACCACATCACAATAAAATATTTGTAAGACTGTAATGTAGTAAAGTAAATGTAATTTAAAGCATATTTAATACCAATCTTAAGACATCCTCATATTTTTAATTCATATCATAAATTCTTAATCATCCAACAACAGTGTTTCTCAAACTTCAAACATAAATTAAATGGCAAAGATAAATAAAAAGGACACTTCACTATAGGGTTTAATACCAAAAATAATACAAGTTCATCTATTGTCTTTGATACATATTTAGGCTGTTACTCATAAAAATCGACGTCTATATATGAAATGCTTAAAATTGCTTTTCTCTTTCCACTAAATGACAATGGAAGGAGACAGGTATAGGGATAATTAATACTTAAAAGTGATAATCAACGATTATAAGTAAGGTCATAAGTTACAAGTTTTATTTATAATTTTATATTAATAAAGTAAGTATATGATAATATTTTATAGCAATCTCTACTTTGGGAAACGATGAAATATCAGTATAGATTATTTTTATAGGCATAATCATTCCTTTTTTTAATATAATTTTTACTTATTTCACTTTTTCAATAAAAGTGATAATGTCAAATACTTCTTAATATTTTTTTATGTCAACATACGTTCAAATTTTACCTTTCTGTGGGGAAGGGATCCAAGGTTGCCATAGCGGCACATTAAACTTAGGAGACTGGGGCGGTTCCATTGGCCAATCTTGAAGACGACTCAGTGAAGTCTGAGCCAAAAACAAGAGGTAATCTGGCAGTTCCATCATCCCAACACATAGGAGAAGTACACAATATCACCAATTCGAAAAAATATTAAAACAGTTCCATTGTCAGAAATCACTGATTTAATGCGCGAAAAATTAGAATTATAAAGTAATCAAAAAATTATTTGAAAATTAGATAATATTATTTTAGCAAATTAAAAGTGGACAACCCATTGGCATCCCGGCACAGGTAACACTGAAGGCCGACTGAATAAAAAACGAACTGGAAGAGATTACATTGGAATAAATAAATGAGATGAACAAAAAATAAACCGAAAAGGAAAAAGAGCATCAAGCTACATCCACGCGGCCGGACGTTGCGGCGCTTCCTTCGACCCTGTACATCACAGGGTGTTATGGGAACTTAACATCGAATTATTTTTTAAAACCATATGTTATAAAAATTGTTCGGTGGTTATATAATATATTTAAAAACTGGCGTCTCCTTACTTCTTAAAAAGAACCTAACAACTATTATAATAAAGATATGGAAGTAAAAACAGCTGAAATGGATTGCTAATTGTTGCAACAAATACTTGGAAATGTACCGGTTAATGATATGGAGAGCACGATCATCTCTGACCCCCATCGGACACAAAGCAATCGATGACACAACAGAATTTAAAATTCGTCTCGAAGGTTGTCATGTATTTAATGTCGAACAGAAATTGTTTTATCTTTTGTGAACACAGTAATTTATTCTTATTATATTAGCAATTTTTAAGTTATTATGACACTGTTAGACTACGATAGGTCTACAAGAACAATTTAGGTATATATGGGCGAATTTTCACGCGTATAAAGATTATAGATACAATTACACTATTAAAACATCAGCAAATAAATGCGAGGCCACACCGTGCTTTGCGGTAGCGCGGCTTACCCTATAAGTATAGAAAATCAGTAACGAGCGTGCAGCGGGGCGGGGCGTTCGGTCTTCGGTGTATATAAAAATCTGCAGCTGCAATAGTGAATACAATTTTTTTTTATAGAATAAGGGTGACAAGCAAGCACAAAGCCCACCTGATGGTAAGTGGATGCTGTGGCCCATAGACAATCGTATCCAGTAAAAAGGGTCTCCGGTTCTCTACAGTCACCATACGCGAAATACAGCAGCATTAAGGTGCTATTTTACGCTGGTATTTATTTAAATATATATTAGCCGATCTATTTCTGCTTCAACCATGATATAGCTGCAATACTTGAGTTCCTTGCTGCATCGACCGTGTTGCCCCCATTGCGTTGAATTTATTGCAGTGCAGGCTTCCGTTATTTTAGTTTTCCCAATCGCATTTATTATAATACTTACATAAATATTTTATCAGTTTTAAGTAACAACCTGTATCCGGAATACATCAACCTGTTCGGTCCATTCATGAAAGTGCGTGAGCGCAGGGCGCGGGGATTAATGAACCCTCTTTACTCTTCTCCCTTTCTTCACCGATACAACCTACACTGATTTTTATACATATTCAGTTTCAACCGTATCAATCACAACTCAAAGCCTTAATTACGTTGGCGGGATTTTAAATGCATATTTCGTAACACAGCAATGCAAAATACATCGTATTAGATAGAAGCAGAGTTTAATATCGTTCGCAATTTTTTTAACGATTGATGATTTTAAATTACGGTGGTTGTATCCTTGAAAGGTTGTGTTTTATTTGGGTAGGGAGTGGTGGGGACCGGGACGAGTGGTAAATCGAACTGTGAGAAGTTGCCGCGTTGCTACGTAGGCATTATGTTTTTTTTTTAAAGTGGTGTAATAGAACGAAGGCAAAGGTTTGCCGACAGGTAGACGCAAGCGCTGGCGCCGCTACTTTAATTAAGTCTGGATGAAAAAAAAAACTATTTAATTAGAAAAACTATAGTTTATTTTCATAATAAAATGTTTATTATTTCATGTTAATATCTACAAATCTTTCAGTACGTGGAAGATTAATTTTAATACAGAATATACAAAAGTTAAAACATGTACTTAGTACATTTGCCTAAATTCAATTTAACTCTACGATCTAGCCTAGCACATAATAATATATAGCCTAGCTTCTTTATGTCCTAAATCTTATTATTTTACACCTGGCATTATTCACATTGTTTCACAAAATATGAGGGGCTTCTGAGTACTGAATTTTTGATATATTATTATTATTATAAGGTGGTAGAGCCATGCTACAGCGATATCAATTGTATAGTTTTAGGAGGAATGCGTCGGCACGACCGGGGAAGGACCGCTCTCACAGAATACCAGCGCAAAATAGCAGCTTAATGCTGCTGTGTTTCGTATGGTGAGGGTAGAGAATCGGAGACCCTTTTTACTAGAAAAGAAGCATTACCTACATCTTAATCCTCACGGCTGACAACGCATTTGCATTTTATAGAGCACACAGAGAATAGATGTAGATGTCTATGGGCCACAGCAACCACTTACCATCAGGTGGACTGAGTGCTCGCTTGTCACCCAGAAGACTTACGATATAAACGTAGGTAATGCTTCTGCGATAGGATCGCAGACATATATCCGCGTACAATTAATAGTGCGCAGTAGGTAGCAGACTCCGGTAGTGGTTACTTACCATACAAAATGTTTATGCTGCTATTTCACGCTGGTATCTGTAAGGGAGTGGTGCATCATCGGAGCCATTACACGCTGCAGCGTTGCTCTTATAATACTAATGTGAATTAAACAAACGCAATGACTTTGTTTGTATTAGCAGTTTTGATTGTAATTATTGATAGACTGCTAATAAAGGCGTGAGAGGAGCCCTTTATCTATAAAAATATTTCTTTTTAAATGTAGTAGTTATTTTATAAATTTCCCTAATTATGATGATCCTGATTATTGAATAATGATTTATTTTAAGAAAATTTCATATTAAGATATTTTACTGTAATTATAACGTATGTAAATAAAAAAATTATTATATAAAATCTGGTTCACATAGTAGAATTATCTTTTAATATAGTAGTAAAATATCTGAATGTAGATAGAGTGGAACGATTTTTTTAATTGTTTAT